GGGGGTGCACCTCCCTAGCCCTGGCCAGGGGGGGGTGCTATTTTTCATGATAAAACAAAAAAATATTATAGAGACAAAATGAGATACAGTAATTTGAGTGATATCGATAACATGATAAGAAGCAACTGTGAACAACAATTACAATTCAAATACAGTAGTCAAGCAAGACTTGACCTGTAAGTTGATGGGCGGGTGGCATGCATGACCAACATAACTCGGCATTAGAGCTGGCAGATCAACCCCCCCCCCCCTCCTACCAGATCATGCTGGATCCATTCCCTGCCACCATGACTGTTAGTATTGGTGCTAATTAAACAGTGCAATCTTGAATGGTCTGTGCCAGGCTAGATAGAGACGATAACAAAATAACTAGATATAACTTAGTACCTGAAAAATTCAAACAGAACTTCACTCGAAAAGTCAATAATTTGTACATTCCGCATGGATTTTCAAGCTCTGTGGATTATGGAATATAAACTAGGGTGTTATTACAATTTTCAAAATTGAAGTTGAAAGTGTCAAAAATTTCTTATCTTGGCCAATCTATTTTTTACTTTTAAAGGATAATTCACTGAAACATATAGATATTAATTTAAACTATGTTTGAGAAAAATTCTGTTATAAAATCGTTTTTCAGATTAATCAGGTAAAGAGTAAGATACCTGGCATATCAGAATATAAGTTCTACCAACCAAAAAGAATAAAAAGATCAAAAAACAACAATAGAAATTATAGAATATAAACTCTATTTAAACTCCACTCCTTAGCTTGGCGCCATATTGAATTTCGCGGTCGCGCTGGTAAAGGCCTGGGGACTAGGTGCTCTACCGTATCTGAAATAGCCTTCACCGTCCAAGATTAATTAATTTTCCCCCACAATGAATAAATTTCGATCACGTGCAAGGAATTTTTACTAGGCGATTAAGGAAACGTATTGATGCGAACAAACTCACAGGCAGAATATAATGCGGTGCCAAACTTGGCACGGGCACCGCAATAGAGTAGGAGTGGATAGAGTATCCAATTTTGAAAGCCTGAATATTTATAATGAGAAGCGATTTTTAAATATGCCAAATTAAACACATATCGAGCTGCTAGTTGTGTAAATTAGCTTAACTATATCAAGCAAATGACTTTGTCTGTGCCGGCTTGAAAAATATAGCTTTCTGCACTTCTTGTAACGAGTTTTAGAACGTTTTATACGCTAGATAATGAGATTCGATCCGCCGGGATTGGTGCTTTGACCTCATTAGTTATGCATGAGTCAATTCCTGGAGTAACCATCCCCCCCGGGACACCCCCGGGAATTTGCCCGATAGACAGTTGACGGGGGTCGGGAATTCGCCTTTCATATATGTGCACGGGGGCCGGGTATTGGAGGACCCCGGGGATTTGACAAATGGTTGCCCAGAATCCCACCCACAAATTTTAAGGCAGCAAAACATGTTTCAGGCAAGCATGTGGGCGCGCTGATCGTATTTTGCCCCCTGGTGGTCAAGGTGGCGTGAAATTTATTGTAAGAATAAGCGAAAATTGGCTTGTGAATTCCAACATGAGCTTCCGAACTTCGCAACGAACTTGCGAACTTCGCAACGAAGTTCGGAACATTTTTTTTAGCCAGGAAAAAGGGGGGTTCATAAAATATTAGACAGTTTATGAAGGCGGGGAGGGGGTCTGCTGTTTTAGTTCAATTAATTGTTTTATACATGCCTTCTTTTGTTCAAATTGGGGGGGGGGCATTATTTTTCCGGGTTATGGCAAAGCAGGGTCACAAAATATCATTCCTTAAAATTTTTAAGGTTACAGGACACCCTTTTTGGCGTTTTGCGGAAAATCGCTACTGCGCGCTCAATATCAGTCCGATTTTCATCAAATTTTCACCAAATGTTCTCCAGTGCATGCAAAATATGGTAAAGTTGTAAAATTAACAAACAATAAAATAATATAAGAATTATTCAGGAAAATCTTAAATCGCGGTACCGGTTACGCTTTTGAGTTGTGCTCCTGCTGGTTTTAAAATATCATTTTTATACAGTAAAATAGTTGTTCTAAAAAATTGTCCGGAAATTTTTGTTTATTTCGTCATTCCGCTGATATGGCGATTTCTTTGACGACTGCAATATATTTCTGAATTATTTGAGTGAATTGCTCTTTATTATTAAAATATCCAAAACTAAGAAAAAGCCGAACACAATTTTGAAACTGACGTCTTTAGCTATGTCCTGTGAAAATTTGAGAAAAATTGGTTAAAACCCGCGGGAGCATAACTCGTTTGAAAATCAGTAATTACCGTAAAATTTTTCGGGAGAAAATTGAATTTGAATATTACATTTTCAATGTTTTTCTTATTCCAGCGAAATGTATTTTACTAAATAACTCTGCGAGTTTTCAACATTTTTCGTTCAAACTTGGTCAGATAGTAGAACTAGTCTAATGCTTTCATTGAAACCAATAAAAAAATTTTAGGCAAAATTAACACTCAAAGGTGTTCTGTAACCTTAAACAAACAATCTATCTATCTATCTATCTATATATATATATATATATATATATATATATATATATATATATATATATATATATATATATATATATATATATATATATATATATATATATATATATATATATATATATTAATATAATAGTTTTAGTTCAATTACATGGTGTTTTAAATTTTATTATATACTGTACCTTACTATAATTATATATATATATATATATATATATATATATACTATTTACATAATTGTAATAAAAGTGCTAACTCATATAGTCTTAATTAATATATAAGAGTTTTGTATTTTACTCTTCATAATCCTGCATGTAAACACATAATAATTTAGGCATATACTTTACTATTGAAATGTGATCAATAAACCATTACTGTATACCGTCAATCCCAGGTGACTTTTTTATCTTAAGGTTAGGACACCCTTTTTGGCGTTTTGAGGAAAATCGCTACAGCGCGCTCAAAATCAGTCCGATTTTCATCAAATTTTCACCAAATGTTAGCCAGTGCATGCAAAATATGATAAAGTTGTAAAATTGACAAACAATAAGATAATGTAAGAATTATTCAGTAAAATCTTAAGTCGCGGTACCTTTACGTTTTTGAGTTATGTTCCTGCTGGTTTTAAGATATATTTATGAAAATATCATTTTTATACAGTAAAATAGTACTTCTAAAAAATGTGTTCGGAAATTTTTGTTTATTTCGTCATTCCGCTGATATGGCGATTTCTTTGACGACTGCAATATATTTCTGAATCGTTTGTGTGAATTGCTCCTTATTATTAAAATATCCAAAATTAGAACAAAGCCGAACACAGTTTTGAAACTGACTTCTTTAGCTATGTTCTGTGAAAATTTGAGAAAAAATGGTTAAAACCCGCAGGAGCACAACTCATTTAAAAATCAGTAATTGCCGTAAAATTCTTTGGGAGAAAATTGAATTTGAATATTACATTTTCAATGTTTTTCTTATTGCAGCGAAATGTATTTTATTAAATAACTCTGCGAGTTTTCAATATTTTTCGTCCAAACTTGGTCAGATAGTAGAACTAGTCTAATGCTTTCATGAAAACCAATAAAAAAAATTTAGGCAAAATTAACACTCAAAGGTGTTCTGTATGTAACCTTAATGTAGTCTCTGAGTCCAGTCTCCGACTGCTCTCTGCTTTAAGTTTTGTTCTGTTCTGCAACAAATAGTTATTGGATTTTTTCTCAAGTTTATATCGAGTGATAACCATGCTTCATTGCATTTCTTTGTTTGCGAAACAAGGCGTGATGATTGCACTTGACGACATTACCATATTCAAATTACCGCATATAAAGGCCGTTATGAATTGAGATCGAATTACTAATAGATCATATTACTGTTGTTGTACTGTACTTGTAAAATAAAAACTTATTAAGTGTCATTAAATAAATGCATAAATTTTGCTTTATTATGCACTCGCGTGTGCAGTAATTTTGACAGTTGTGCTATTTTAAATTCCCAGGCACCTAAAATCTTTTGTCCTTAAAACAATGTCGATTCCTTGGGAAATTCCGAGGTTGCGTTTTTTTTTACACACCCTGTACAGTGTGTATAAAAAAACCTGTACCCTTTCAAATTCAAATTAGCTTATTAGCTATAACGTATTGTAGTAATTTGACAGCTCTTGGGTAAGAACACAAGGTCTTGTACTCATGCGACAAAACTCAAAGACTGAAAAATTAGAAAATTTAAAAGAAATAAAATTGTCTAATTTTTATTTCTTTGAGTTTTGTCCCATGAGTACAAGATCTTGAGTTCTTACCCAACCATTAATTCAAGGCAATTAAATAAGAGAATAAACTCTAATAAATGACAGCTCTAATAAATTAGAGCTGTCAAATTACTACAATACGTTATAGCTAACTTGAAAGGGTTCAGTTTTTTTATACTCACACTGTAGATTGATACTTATTACTTATAGATTGAATTGGCGATGCTCACTAATTGTGTGAAAATTTGGAACATATAGCTGGCGCAAATTTGCATGTACACACGTAAAAACGCACAAGTTGTGCCAAGTCTGCAAACAATGCTGTAACAATGCACAAGTTGTTACAAATCTGTTCACAAGCTGTCAACAAGTTATCTTCGCACTGTTTGTTCCCAGTTGTTGTAACAAGTTTGCAACAAGCTGTTAACAACTTGTAACAAGCTTGATGGCATTATCAGACTTGTCACAAGGTTGTTCTAACAAGTCTGATACAGTCATGATAAACAAGAATGTTACAAGGTTGACGTCACAAGGTTGTAACTATACTGCTATATCACGACTTTATCGGACTTGTTGGAACAACCTTGTAACAAGCCTGATCAGCTTGTTCCAGACTTGTTGACAACTTGTGACATGCAGTGCGAAGACAACTTCTTGACGGCTTGTTGACCGAAACTTGTTACAACGGATGTGAAATTTTTGCGTCTGTATTTAGACATGATCAAATGCACTTTACATCAAGTATTACCCTTACCTAATTACGTACTGAGCCTACAGTGTTTATCTTTGCAACAATTTTGATATCCTATATGATCCTAACCCACCCTGCAGTCAACTTTTCCTCACCATGTGGAAGGAAACCGGAGCACCCGCAGAAAATCCATCAATCTTTACGACCATATGGAAATCAGGCTTATAAACGTCTGCTATACACGATATACACACGTGAAAACCAGGGACGTCGCGAAGCCATCAACATTGGGAGGGGGGGGGGGGGTGTCGTCATTTCTTGACCAACATTTCCTAGGATTTTGACCAACTAGTCGTACAAATTTTTCCCGAAAATTTTGTCGACTGGGGGAGGTCAGAAAAAATTTGCCGGACTAACATAAGCATAGTCAAAAAAAATTTTCCGGACTAACACAAGCTTTATTCAAAATTTTTTGACTAAGATAAGCAAGGCTTCCAATTTTTCACCGCAAACATAAAAGCTTTAAAATTGTTAAAATTGCGAACCATTTCATAACTTTGAGCAACTTCGACCATCTTTTACTATCCCGAGTTTTACCTTCAATTTTAAGCAAATATCAGTTCCATTTTGACCATCTTTGGGCAAATATCAGTTCCATTTTGACCAACGTTTGAATTATTGGGGGGGGGGAGGGTGTTACCCCCCCACACACACATACACACACACACACTATAGCGACGTCCCTGGTGAAAACTGAAAACGCACAAGTTGTTACATTCTATGTCGGGACGACTTTGAAGTAAGTCACGTTGCACGATTCAGCAAAGCGGCTTTATTTTCCTAGTGACAGATTGCAGCACTAATGGACAACTTGCATGGTAGACTAAATTTTAATCTAAGTAAAGAGAAGGGAATCAAACACCACAGCTGCTTGTATCAATTAGCCAATGAGAAACCATAGTTTCTTCATGTGACTTTGAACACAATGGAGGAAAATGCAAACGATTTTGTCGATTATGTTGTTGTTAAGAAGCTTTCCCAACGTGTGCGGTGAAAATGCATAGCTGAGCTATAGCCGCCAGGCGAGGTGGTTAGCTCAGCATGTTTCTCTGGTGTGCGGTAGGCTTAACAATAGGATAATTTCTGTTGTGTCACTTTTTTGAGGGGGGGGAGTCCCCCTATAGAAATCACTCTTTTGTTAAACATAATTTTGGCTAAGTGAGACTTCTGGTCTATTTTCTATTCTGTGCCCGAGCGCCATGCGCGAGGGTAAAAAATTTAACACGCTTTTTTGAGCTGCCTATGGTTCGAGTAAGTGGTGGAACTGACTACAGAGCAACGAGTATTTGTCGTAACAAGTCATAAAGTCTAACCGAAATGTTCAATTATTTGGACGAAGGGAAGTTGTAAACCTTCCGCCGTTTATGTACGATTAAATTAAATTCCCAAAGGTATAATAACGCACAAGAGTGATGTCTAAGGGGGACTTTTTGGGGGACATCCTGTAGTTTCTCACATATTAATGGCCGACTTGCGCTTTGGAAAAATTTTTAATCTGGGAATAACAAAGGATATTTTTGGAAAGAAGTTATCAAAATTAGAAAAACTGCAAAGTTTGGTTGCGAAATGTTGTAAAATACGGAAAATATAGCCCTGCGAAGTTGGCAAATTTGTATACTATTACGTGAGGAAATTGGTAACTAATTTAGTTACCAATTCACGCACGTAATACAAAAGTATACAAATTTGCCAACTTTGAAGGCCTATATTTTCCGTATTTTACAACATTTCGCAACCAAACTTTATAATATTACTAATTCCAAGACGTTCTTTCTAGCTGTGCTGATAGATTTCGTTGTTCTTACTTAGATTAAAATTTAGTCTAAAGCGCAAGTCGTCAATTGGATAATTACTCAATGCAGTTTCCGAGTCCAGTCTCCGAGTGCTCTCTACTCTAGTTTTTTTTTTCTGTTCTTGCTGTCGTTGCTATCGTTGTTATTCCACATCACTGTCTTGAGCTACTTTTTCATATTTATGCAGACTTGTTGAAAAGCGAATGTACAGAAGTAGAATAAGAAGCACTACAGTAGATGATATTGAATAGATGAGTAATGTTAGCTGTGTGCCCAAGATGTGGAAAAGAATTCCCATCACAGTCGATCCGGTCTCAAATCCTACAGCGTAGACTGTCTCTAGTAGGCCTAAAAGGATGAAAAATTGAATTTATTACTTCAAAATAATTTTGGAAGGTGTTGATTTATATAACACTTGCAATAACAATAGTGAACAGTTTCTGGTTATCAGTGGGAAAGAATAAACATTGTCTGAATAAAATCTATCAACAGTGGGCTCTTTTCCCCTTTAAAATTTCCCGTGAATAACTATAAATGAGGTCACACCAAGATGGCTGCCACAAGTCTCATCATCTAGTGTTTAAAACGTTCTAAAACTCGTTAGAAGAGATGTGGGAAGCTATATCGTTCAAATTACATAGGAAAATACAATTGCTTGATAATGTAGTTAATTTTAAACACGTCGTGATCACGTTTTTATAAATATCATGGCTTCAAAATTGGCAGATTCAGTTCAAAAGGACACTCAGTCTAGTCATAATTTCAGATCAGTGATTAATGTTCTCCATGCCATCGAGAGAATTTAATTGCTAAAGTAAAATACGTTTTATTAAATCTGGTCACACTGAGGGACGGATCTATCCTCATCTGCAAGTGGTGGTGCAGGTTTTCTATGGGGTGATGAATGAGGGAGCCTTACTGCCCACTCTCCTCTGCAATCTGCAACGCTATGGCTATGCTCCCCAAATTACCATTATTTGCTATGGCCGAATCTGCATGTTCGCCGTATTACATCATGTTTTGTTTATGAAGTTTTTATCGGCTTTTTATCACGTATGCGTGACTAATGGTAAATTTGCTTGTAAAAATACACTATATTTGAAAATATGACTGCATGTAAACAATCCCGACATGTTTACATATTTTATCATGATATTTAACTAAATTAAGCAGAAAATGTATGGACATGCAGATGTTTTACGGGGGTGCTGGACTTCTCTAGCGAGGGGGGAGTGCCCCCCGCACCCCACGGTATCACACTTTATCAGAGGTTTCACTTACCAAAAATCACACTTGCGTTTTCTTTTGATGCGGCCTTGGAGAAGAGTACTGTGAAGGCGCAATAACTGAGACCATAAGCCGTCGCTTGACATGTGTCAATCACAATAACCAACCAGGCTATCCGTGTGAACGATAGAGCCAAATACGAGCACGCATAAAGAAACAATGCCACACAAATAGTCTTTAATTCATCAATCTTTCTTATCAAACGAGTTGATAGAAACATAGACGTCGCTAATATAGGTCTTCGGACTAAAACTGCGCCGGCAATTAGTAACGGGCTTGCAGATAATCCGTCTAAGTACCAAAATTCCCAATAGGATTGAAACGCTAAACACAGTCCAGCGTAAAACAGAACCACGAACATAAAAATGTAGTGCGCATTAAACACATCAGCTTTAACTCCGGACCAATTAATCGTTTTTTTCTCGTTGTACTCAAACTTAAACCAAGGAAGGGATAGCATCGAAAGGAAGAACATAATTCCTCCCCATATGAAACTTATGAAATACCCATACTTCTCAACTCCACAGATATTTATCCGAATGTACCAAGCTAGCACGGCGACAGACGGAATAGAAAGTGTACAACCTATATGGGCCCACATGCTATAAACGCCATAACTCGCATTTTCTCCTTGTATATAAGTTATTGTAGCCAGGTTTGCTAAAGACAGGTCCACACGCTCAAAAAGCTGCGTCAGAGATCTTGAAACTGTCAGGAGTACAAATAAAGCACTTAGCATGGCCAGGGGCAGTGAGGTGTGGGTCATGGAGGATGGTTTGACTGGATTGCTGGGTTTGACGGTGTTGTTAAATCGTACGGAATGGTGAATCTTTGAGACAGACAGGAGTGTTTTATCCTTGGGATGCTTCGGGAACATTCGACCATTATTACTCATGAGAACTTGTAACGTTAAGGTGTTCGTTGATGTTAAATATGGTTTGGAATGGTGTGTTTTCGAGCCAGTTATCCGGGTTCCAGTAGGGTTTGAATTCTGTGAATGTACTGAGATGGTATTCAGTGGGCTGTTGTTCAATGGCAAATGAGAAATTGTATGGTGGATCATGAAGGCAGATGGGTTATTGGCGGTTATATTGACCGAACTATTAATGAAGATATGGTGTTGTACCGCTTTAAGAGACTTTGTCGATGTAAAGTGCTTTTTGTTGTTGCGGATTGCATAGCTTGAATAGTTCAAATCCACTGTTCCGTTTCTAAGTTGTATTGCTTTCTTAGCAGACGTGAATGCTATGTATGGTTTGGTATAGCATGTCGGCTGAAGTGCTGGTACTACCAGGGATAAAAGTGGTAACATACAACATACTGATGCTCCCAAGGTACCAAATACTGCGACAATCTTTCTTGCTCGAAATTTCTCACCGAACAGTAGACACAGTGGTATGAGTAGATGCGGTATTCCAAACAGTGTTGTCAATCCAATCTGTCCCGGGTTGAAACCAAGTTGTTTCATAAAAAGATTGAAATATTCACAGAACAGTGCCACTGATCCTGAACAACTGAAGAAATACCATTTTAGAGCGACAGATTTTAGCGAGAATTTTACCATGATAATGACGTTTGTGCGACAAGCCGTATTGAATCTGATATGCGCGTCAGTGAAGCGTAGTGACTTTATTGTGACCTCTAAGTTTAATATATACATGCATGTAAAGCATACTGTATTTGTTGTTATGTTAATCGTGTGTTTCGCTAATCCTGCGAGTTTGAAAGGTTCTTAAGGGCTGATTACATGAAGCGATTTCAGCCTGGGCTGAAAATTTTGACTATTACATGGTCATTTTCATTCTGATTCAGCTCTGGAACAAATAGTTATTGGATTTTTTCTCAAGTTTATACTTTATATCGAGTGATAACCATGCTTCATTGTATTTCTTTGTTTGCACAACAAGGCGTGATGATTGAAACTTGACGACATTACCATATTCAAATTACGGCATATAAAGGCCAGTGGACCACGGTTACACATTAAGGCCGGATTCCACGAGGCGGAATTTTTCGACCGAAACGAAATTTCTCTTTGTCTTTTTACAATTAGTTCTGCTCGAGAGCTCTGAAACAAAGAGAAATTTCGATTCGGTCGAAAAATTTCGCCTAGTGGAAAACCGCCTTTACACATTACACATTACACATTACACATTACACATTACACATTACACATTACACATTACAGAGCAACAGAGTAGGACTGGATATTATTAATAGCCCTATTCACATTAGAGACGGATATGAGATCGAATTGCTAATAGATCATATTACTGCTGTTGTACCGCAATTGTAAAATAAAAACTTATTAAGTGTCATTAAATAAATGGATAAATTTTGCTAATTTATGCACTCACGTGTGCAGTAATTTTGACAGTTGTGCTATTTTAAATTCCCGGGCACCTAAAATCTTTTGTCCTTAAAACAATGTCGATTTCTTGGGAAATTTCGAGGTTGCGTTTTTTTTATACACCCTGTAGATTGATACTTATGTAATTAGTTGTGTGAAAATTTGGAACATATAGTTAGCGCAAATTTGCATGTACACACGCAAAAACGGACAAGTTGTTACGAGTCTGCAAACAGGTTGTTACAAATCTGTTCACGTAAGACTTGAGGTGGTCTTACGCCCGTATTCTAAAAGCTCACTCACACTCACACTCAATGAGTGGAGGTTCAATCTGAGCTTCCCTTGAGGGTCAATGCTGTTTTTGAATAGCTGGAGGATGAGTTTTCACATAGTACGGTACGGCACTAACCCTCCAGCTATTCAAAAACAGAAACGACACTCGAGAAAAGCTCCGATTTAACCTTCACTCATTGAGTGTGAGTGAGCTTTTAGAATACGGGCGGGGCGCAGTGTTCAGCAAAGTACTCAAAATTTTTACTTAAGTAAAAGTGAAAAGTAACACCTCAATTTTTACTTAAGTAGAAGTAAAAGTACTGACTGAAAATTTTACTTAAGTAAAAGTAAAAGTATTGCCTGAAAATTTTACTTAAGTAAAAGAAAAGTACTGGAAAAATATACTTAAGTAAAAGTACTACTGAAATAGAATATAAATTCGTGAAATTTGGGCGGAAGTAAGCCGGAAGTAACAGCCCTGAGCCAAGCACATTCCCACAATCCCACCAAGTCCCACCCAATCCCACCCAATCCCACCAGTCCGTTTTAATAAGAAATACTTTTTTAAAATTTTTACTTCGCCAAAATATAACAAAAGTAACGAAGTAAAAAAGTAAATATTTACCAAAAATCGTAC